CAACAAAATCATGTTCGCATGGTGAATAAGTGGATTCGAATACAAATCAGATAAGAAAAATTGCACATTAATCGTCATAATCCTGTGGATCACGAAAAAATGAGCAATCTTTTAGACTTTTCATCATATACGTATGATAACACTAACTCACAAAATATAGTCAAAATATAACTAGCATATAATATATTTGAAGATTAATTTTTCATATTGTAATATGAAAGATTGTATGAATTGAAATTTAAAATATTTTTTTTTCTTCTTCCTGGAACTCATCTACTCCAACAATGGCAGAACTTAAGAGGGGCAGGGGGCTGTTGCCCCCCCCAAGATTTTTTTTTTTTTTTATGTATTTTGGCATTGTATTTTTTGAATATTACTTTTGGCCCCCCTAAAGTTTTTGTAAATATGTGTCTTAATCCTTAATTTTTTTGTTTCTTCTCTACAATCTTATATAAATTATACTTGTATATATCATATTTAATATAAAAATATTTAAAAAAATGGTTAAAATTTGTATTATTTTATATAACATTTATGAATATTTACTTATTTTGGAATTTTTTTATCGGTGTCTCATAAAAATAATATGAGACGATGTCATTAATCTCCAAAATATTTAAGTGCAATACATTAAGATTTTTTTGTCACGCTTAAAATATGATAAAACTATAATATATATGCTATTTTAATTAAAAAATTATCATATAAACTTGTTTTTGCTATGTCTGGTGAACTTAAAAAAAAATTCGGGGCGCCGCCCCGAACCCCGAAATTTTAGTTAGCTCCCCCTACATTTTGATCTTGGTTCCGTCCCTGTACTCCAAGATATCTCCAGCTGTGCCTAGTTGGATACGATGGGAACCGAAGTTCCCCACACAGTCCTATTTGCACCTCGCAAATAATACTCAGTTGTGCGTAGTTGGATACAATGGGAACCGGAGTTCCCCACGCGACCAAAGGCCTATTTGCACCTCGCAAATAATATCGCCTTGAAGAAAAATTGTGAACTCCTCCCGAAATGCTACTATAAAGTCCTTGTACGCCTTTAATATGTTCAATAAAAACAACATCAAGTAACATATTTTCCATGTATATAAAATAAAATGAATAATAAAATAAAATTTAGTGTAAATATACCTGGACATGTGTCCTCCCTCGAAGAACATACTCCTTGCTACCCGTATTAAATGTGCTTAGAATTTTTTCTCCCGTCTTGATCTGTAAAGTTATCCTGAATAATCTTAAATGTTATATCTCATATCTTAAATCTTAAAGTTATCATTGATATATTCATGATTTATGACATACTTTTATCTTTTTAAGATAAATTAAGGTGTCATTTCATTTTTCTTTGTCCAGAGTAATTGTTGAGCTAATCAATCTCATTTCATCTATGCACATCACTATTACTTTTTAGTTGACATTTGTATTTTAGCGATGTTATATTAATTTTTCAATATTTATAATTTTGAAAGTTTAGCATGAACCTTGACCTGTTAATTTATAATTTTTTTTTTGAATTTTCCTTTTTTTAAATTTTTTTTCGATATGCTTATTGTACTGAAAATGACTACATGTAACTACAGTCGACTATAGCCATTCATAGTAATATTATTTATTTTATATATATACATCGATATGTAAACGCACGAATACCATCATCGATTATATAAAAAACATAATCTACACCAACGATAGAATTTAAAATTTTAAAATATTTATATCATAAATTAACTCGTAACCAATAAATACATATCGAGAAATATACAATCACATGCATATGTTACTGGATATAACTATGGTAATGTACAGTAATGTTGGCAGCCCATGGCCGACTATAGCTCGAAATACGGATGTCAAATTCGCCAAAATTCGTCTACAAACTTCGACCAAAATTTGTGACACCTTCAAGGAGAAGATCAATGGCTTCCAATAAGTTGCAATTGCAAAATCAAACAAAAAAAGGTATTTAGTTATGTCCAAACATAAAATCAACAAAAATTTAAGAGACATATAGACAGAGATGCTATGGCTGCTAATGCTACGAAATTTTAAACCAAACAGCCAATGACTCCTCACACCAAGTGTCTCATACCGAAAACCTAGCCACCGCCAACCACCAAGGTTCTGCGTGAGCAACGAGAAAAAATACAAAAATAATTTTGATAATTAAGATTGAACAACTCCGACGAGAGGAATCCAACGGTTGAAAAACAAATTACCCCTTCGAGATGGCACGGTAAAACAATTGAAGAAACAAATCCAGAGCTCCTAACTCTATGTAATCACCACCAAAATAAAGATCTTGGCGAGAGGAATCAAAAGTTGTTAAACCATCAAATTTCGACCACCGGAGAGAAAGTTATGACTCCAGGAAGAAACATCTTCAATTGGAGACCTATGGGCCGGAAATTCGGATCTGAGAGCTGAAGAGAAAGAGTGAGACGGCTGTGAGTTTGTTAGGATTTAAAACTGATTCTATAAGGGTAGTTTCGGCTGTTCAAGTCGTCCAAGGGATATGTAAAATTTCGAAAAGAGTGAGGAGATATGCACAAGGATGTAATCTCCTTGGTATTTAGTTCAAAATATCCCATTTGAAGGGAGGCCATCAATTAATCCCTTAGAGTGGGTTTAGATGGAGGAATTTGGAGGTGGATTTGATTTAGGGAAGGGATTTGAAATGACTCCAATTTGGAGTCATTTGAAATTCACCTCCATTGCTCAAAAAACAACTAAAAATGAGGGGTGTGGATTTGAAATTCATCCTCAAATCTATCAATCCAAACAAGTCCAAGGGATTTGTTATTGTGGATTTGAAATCCCTCCTCCAAATCTCTTCATCCAAATGCACCCTTAAATTAATCTCACGGGGAGGGGTGCTACTACTTTAATAAAAGGCAAATTACAAACACCCCTCTGAGGTATGGCCAATTTACGAAAAAATCTCTCTTGTTTGGATAATTACATCTACCCCCTCAACTGTGATTTTTTCTTGCATCTCTACCCTTATGGTGTCAAATTCAACCTAATCATCTAGATTTCGTGGATTTTGCTCTAGTTTATACTCGTTTTATGTAAAAATACAGTTTCTGATGCACCACAATCTGATATATACAAGCCAAAAAACACATATTATGATCATCTTGCTTCAAAATGTGGAGATCGAATTGGATAAAATGGGTACAAAAGTGATTCCATATAATCTCGATGATTCCACTAAATTTGAAACCGTAAGGGTGGACGTGTAAGAAGATTTATAGTTGATGGGGTGGTTGTAATTACCCAAACAAGACGGGGGGTTTTGTAATTTAACCACTCCCCTAAGGTATGATAAAATTACGAATACCCCTCTCCTGTTTGGGTAATTACAACAATCCCCTTAACTATAAATTTGTGTACAAGTCCACCTTTGCGGTTTCAAATTTAGTGGAATCTTCTTGATTATATGAAATATTATCACTTTTGTACCCATTTTATCTCATTCGAGCTTCACATTTTGAAGCAAGATGATCATAAGATGTGTTTTTTTGGCTTGTATATATATGAGATTGTGGTGCATCAGAAACCATATTTTTACACAAAATGAGTACAAACTAGAGCACATTTCATGGAATCTAGATGATTATGTTGAATTTGACACCATAAGTGTGGAGATGTAATAAGATTCATAGTTGAGGGATAGATGTAATTATCCAAACAAGAGGGGTTTTTCGTAATTTGACCATACATCAGGGGTCATTGTAATTTACCCAAAAATCTTTATGTTTTTTAATCTATTTTTATATATTAATTAATTGGGTAAATAACACTCAACCCCCTTGTGGTTTGGGCGTTTTGCACATGACTCCCTTATGGTATGAAATTATGCACATAAGTCCCTTGTGATTTTGACATTTTGCACATGACCCCCTTATGGTATGAAATCGGGCACATAATTCCCTTGTGATTTTAACATTTTGCACATGACTCCCTTATGGTATGAAATTAGGCACATAACCCCCTTGAATAGAAAATTAAAAAAGACTAAATTGCCCCTAAAGTTTAGCCAAATTGCAACCATACCAACTGTTCGTTGGTTACTCTATCAAGTTAAAATTTCTTGTTTTAATTTAAATAATTATTCTAAAATGAAAAGTTTAATGTACTTTTTTGTAAAAGGAGAAATATAATATATTATTATGTTTTTTTTTTAATTTAACAACACAAAAGGTACATACTACGTACTAGTTATTGTACGATTGATAATTTATTCAATTTTAGAAACCAATTTGAAAATCTCATATGCTACAAATCAAATATAAAATGATTAAACTCGATATTAAATTATGAAAATCTCATATGCTACGAATCATATATAAAATTATGAACTATCAATTTCTTTGTTCAATTATAATTCGATAAAATAATTCTACATATTTCAAAGATTTAATATTATTATTAATTATGATTATTATTTACTATTGTCTATATAATATATTATATTATAGCTGTTATTGAATTTTATTTTTTTAAGAAACAAAATCTTTATTCTTTAGAGGTAATTAAGTCTTTTCCAGTTTTACTATTAAAGGTGAGTATGTGACTAATTTCATACCATAAAAGTGTCATATGCAAAACGTCAGAACCAAAGGGGGTTATGTGTCTAATTTCATACCATAAGGGGGTCATATCCAAAATTGACCAACCAAAGGGGGTTAAGTGTTATTTACCCTAACTAATTTAAAGAAATACCCCACGCACCGCCCCTTTATTCCCAATTCAACCTTCCCCTTTCCACGAGTGACCGCCGTCTCCCGCCGTGACTCACCACGCGCCACCGTCTCCCCTCAATGTCTCGATTGAATTGATTGCGGTTGGCCGTCTCTACACGCCGCCGTCTCTTCGACACCCTCCACCGTCAGCCTTATGCACTCCACATCTTCCCCAAAATAACTGCAGTGAAAATTCTAGCCGGCCAAACTCGATAATTCTTCTGATTTATACTAAGTTTTTTTTTTTTTTTTTTTTTGCTGTTGAATTGCCTCAATTCACTAGCCCCAAGGTTTCTCTGGACAAATTTAGCTGCGAAAAGAATTGTGTTTCTGGTCAAGGTAAACCCTCTACAAAATTTTATTTCCCTTTTTAGCATTTTTGTTAGGGTTTCAGTCAGTGATTACTTTAGCCCAGGTAAATTTAAGTTGCTTCTGCTATTTTTCGTTTGATTAATCACTTTAAAAAATATATATTATTTTTTTGTTATAAATTATCAGATAAAAACTGCTAATTGATGTGATGCTTAATAGATTTAACCAGGAAACTTGTAATGGAGTACATATTGAAATATCTTACTAATTATCGAAATGTCTGTAGACTGTAATAAAACTAAAAGATCGGACTTTTATTTTTTGCGAATATTATACAGTATTGATTTCAAAAGAATGAATTTGAATGTGGTCATGTTGTCTGGGATTTCACATCGAGAGTTTTACTACCACTGTGTTGACTGCACATTGATAATCATATAGAAGCAATAATTGAATTAATGTGGGATATTTAAATTCTCGATGGGAGGGAAGTATTGGGTTGATTTTCATGGTGTCCTAATTTTGGTTGGAGTTCTAATAAAGATGAACATTTTGCTGTATTATCAATAAGAAACCTAATTACGGTGTGTCTGTAAGTGCTAATCTAAACTTTCCACTGTATCCAAGTTGTTAAATATAAGTTGTAACTCAACCTATCCCAAGTATGTTACGAAACTGAATCCCGAACCCCGAAACCCGAAAATCTGAAAACCCGACACCCGAAACGTCATATTATGTCAATAGTTGAAGGCAACTTGTATGAAACTGCTTAGTCTTGGTTCTGCAACTTAAATGGTATCTTACTTCTCTCGTATTTGATTCTTGTATATGAGTGTTAAGATTAAATACGTCATTCTTTTATATGGTTATTCATTTAGTTTAGTTTTATTGCAGGATGACGAATAGAGGAAGAGGAAGAGGAAGAGGAAGGGGTTCCAAGGGTAGGGGAAATGAGCTTGGTGGTCCAAGAAGTAATTTAGTCCTCAATGATGAATTGGATGACCATACGAATATTGATCCGGAAAATATGCAAACTCCATCGAGTGTGAAACCGCTGGCTGCTTTGCTACCAGAATCAAATAAGAGTACACAAAATGATTTAGAACTTCAATACGAGGAAGGGTCAACAAATAGTGGTTACGACTCTCCGTACTCTGCGGAACCTAAGAAGAGGAGGCGTTCGTCTAGACCAAATAGATCAACCAGCCGAGGCAATAATGTGCCGAACGATCCTAGTGAGAGAATATGGATACAACCAGAAGGGAATGGGTGAATTTTCTTGACCCTTCTTTTATTGCTTATATGAATATATCTTATGTGATTTTCTCTTGATTTATTACTTGCTTTTGTTGCTGCTCTTTGCACTGGTTGAACACTTGGTTACATTTTGTTTTTCTGCTAGCGTTTTTGTGACTGTCCGCACACGCTTTTTTCCTTACATCCATCTCTAGTTGTATTTCCTATTGTGAATGCACTTATGACTTTCTCCCGTCCCCTTTTTTCCTTCCTTTTATTACATCTACTTGGACAAGCTAGACATTTTTCTTATGTGACTTTTCCATCCCGTTTTCTCGTGCTTTTATTGTCTTCTGTGAGGGGTTTTAAATGGCTCGTATAGGATCCAAGACTACCCAATTCCAAATTTCAAGAAAGTCCTGCATTCTTAATTTTAAGGTTTAAGCCCATTACTTCTATATATACTTTTTTAATTGATAGTTTCAGAGAATAAAATGAATTAATGACTACATCTTTATTTTTTTATTTTTTTTGTTTTTTTATTATTTTTTTTATTTTTTTGCGAAGCACTTCCCATACTTACATCTCCGTGAATGATGTTTGTTTATAAAGTTGGCCTAAAATACTGCACTATTCCTTCACACGCATATGCATTTGGCCCACCTAACAAATTGAAGTCTAGATGGTCCAATAAATTAATTCTTGTATGAAATTTTTAATTTTTAAATAACATAATTTCATATATATATGTTATAAGTAATTAAAAAAAAAAATCTTGTTGCACCTCGTTGCCCCTATAACCATCCATCTCTGACAACAAAATTTTTAAATAACAGAATTGTTCAACATATTTATCACATTGTTATTTATCAAACGACATTATGTTGATTGTATAGTATTGCAAATTTCCTAAAAAATAGTTATGCTAATTAACTAAACATTTATATTGCAATTGGAGGGGTGTGTACATCTTGGTGCATAATTGATTTAGCAGCTTCTTATGTAATTGATATTTTTGCTTTAGTTATTATTTTGCTGTAAGTTTCATCGGACAGCGAGATAGTGTCATTTATTTGTACCTAAATGTACAACTTTCAAATCGAGCAGATTTGATAACATAGACGTGGCTAGAAAAATCACGCTTGCCTTGAAAGCCTACATAGGTCCGTGGCACACTTGGAGAAAGGTTCCTGAACAAGTTAAAGAAAACATATTTGGTAGATTTAAAGTAAGTAATTTACTTCTTAATTTGGAATTCGTTGGTGCATGCATTGTTTTGTTGATTTTTTTTATTTTATATTTAATTGAACGTTCTACATGATTAAAATATGATAGGAATATTACCAATGGTTGCCTGAGCATGAGCCTGCTATTAAAAAATCATGGTCGCGTATGTCTGGGAAAAACTTGAGTAATATGTTTAATGATGCTCGTGAAGCTGCCATGAAAGCTGCTAAGTCAGAAGATCCGTTAAAAATGAAAGGAAACGGGCCCAAATGGTTGAGTGCTAGTGATTGGGATAAATTGGTCGACGAGGTTTTTGCGACAGATGAATGGAAAAAAAGGAGTGAATCCGCTAGAAGTAATAGGCTGACCGAGAAAAACGGATGCATCACAAAACACACCGGTGGTTCCATTCCAATTAGGGAGCATGAAAAAAGAATGGTAATTTTTTAATTTTTATTTTTCAATGTTAATTATATATATAAAAAAAATTATTCGATTTTAATGACAAATTTATTTGCGCGCAGAAAAGGGTACTTGGTGAGGAAAATGTTTCCGAAATCGACGTCTTTGTTCGTACCCACAAGATACAACGCGGGAAAGGTGAATCAGTTGATAATAGGTCCAAGAGTGTTGTTCGTGTAAGTGAATAAAATAATCTCGTCGTGCTTCAAATAAAGTGTTTTTTTATTTCGGATCGAGTCGATAGTTAAAATAATCTGTGTGTATATATGTAGGATGCATGTGAAGATACTAGGTCCGAGAGAAATGACAATAATGACCCTATAGATGAACCTGAGTTCGATCATTCTTCTTGGATGGAAGCAATTGGTGTCGGCTCTTCTTCCAAGAGTTATGCGGATGGATTTGCGCCCAGTCAGCATACTAATGAAGTATTAAATATTCTCAAAAAGAAAAACGAAGCACTAATGGCTTCACATTCTAATGAAGTATTAAGGAATGGATTCGGGCACAATCAACGTGCTAACGAAGTACCAACTATGTCGCACGCTAATGAAGTATTAAGGAATGGATTAGGGCAAAACGAGCGTGCTAACGATGTACCAAGGGCAGAAAAGTCTTTTCCAACAGAACTCCTCGCAGGCGTGTCTAGTTCTATTAAACAACTCGAGTGTAGAATGGATGGAATGGAGAAGAAATTAAGTAAATTTATTGAGCAAGCTAATAAGAGGGAGACGATTTTACTCGACGCTTTGGTGAAACGGGATCGAGAAATTTTTACTATATTGCACCAATTACAAGCTGCACGAGCACCTTCTGCTTTCGAAGAGATTGCGAATAAGTTGGCTCGAGATATTGCTTTGGACAATTTGGCCGCACCTAACCCACAAATATAACGATGACAACTCGCGTTAGTTACTTGTATTAGTTGTTTATTATGTTTAATTTTATTGTTGGGGAGATTTATGAAGTTTGTGATGGTGTTGTGTAATTTTTTTTCTTTGTCGAGTAGAATGAAGATGTGATCGCAGGTTCTCGGGATGTATTTTTAAAATAATAACATAGTCGAACATCGATAAATTAATAACCTCATTTAAATAATATGTTTTCCCGGTCCCGACTCAAAGGCAACGTATTAAAAATTATTTCGTTAAATTTATATTTCGTTAAATTTATAAAATTTGGCTGGTCCGATTGTATTAATTTATTGAGGTTTAATTGTAGTTGTGAATAATGATTAATTATCATCCATTAGGCTTGCTATTAGTGAATTAGAATGAGCTTTTGTTGGTAATTAATGACTGAATTCTAATCAGGTGGTAAAATATTTTACCAACAAATATAGCGAGGAAAATGTTGTTGCTAAGTTGAATTTTGTCGATCAGTTTATACTTGTTGATTTTTCCATCGTGATCGTTGAGGAACAACAAAAATTCCGTTGATGTTTAGCCCTTTGTTGTTGTAGTCAGTTTGCTAGTGCATTATATGCTAGATAACTGCTAAAACTACCAAAAAAACGTTGGAATTAACCATTAATAAGGATTAAAAGAATTTAAAGTAAAGAAAATAATAAATAAGAACAAAAATCACTTCAAAAATATCGAGATAGATTTAGGTTTCGCTCGTTACCGCTTGTAGTTTTTTTTTTTTTTTTTTTTAATATGTGTGTAATGAAAGAACATACAACCGATCATATAGGTTCATTGGTTAAACATACTGTAATAACTTCCATTCGAACTTAGGTCAATTTGTATATATCACGTCTTATATTTATCATGGACAATTAATCTTATCTCATTCAATCAATCCTATCAATCTGATTAATATTGCGTACACAATCCAGTGATTCGAATGTTTTCGGATGAATGTTAGTTATAAATGATGTGTCCAAATCCCGCGTTCGCAAGAGAAAAACATGTAAACTAAGTCGGTTGATCCGTCAAAATTAATCAAACGCTCGAGTTAGTTTCTTGGTTATAAAAAAGGTTATATTTTAGGATAAATTATGGCCGGCCCCTAGGGTAAAGTCAAATTATGAAAAATCTTTCATATTTGGGTAATTACTTTCACCCATCAACTATAATACACACATGTCCATATTTGCGGTGTCAAATCATATGGAATCTTCTAGATCATGTGGAATATTCTCTGGTTTGTACCCGTTTAATTCCATTCGAGCTCCACATTTTGAAACAAGATGATCATAAGATGTGTCTCTTGACTTGTAGATATCAGATTGGTGCATTAGAAACTGCATTTATGCATAGAACGAGTACAAACTAGAGAACATTACACGGAATATATGAGATTATGTTGAATTTGACACTATGAGAGTGGACGCATAAGAAAATTCATAGGTGAAGAGTGTGTCATTATAATTACCCAAAAAATGAGGAATTTTTTTTTCTCTTTATAATTTAACCTTTACCTCAGTGGCGTGGCAGTAATTTACCCTATATTTTATCATATAGATATATATTTTCTAACCTTTATTCGCATTTAAAGATGTATAATTGTGTGTAAATCATAGGTGGAAAACTATCGCACTAACCTTTCATTTTCAGTTTTAGTTTTTAAACAAAGATGAAAATTAAACAAAAAAAAAACATGTAATACAATAAATCAAAAAAAATAAATTCTCACGAGAACATATTTTTATTGTAAGAAATAAGATATATCATGCTCAAATTTTGAAAATCATACTAACCACAAATACATATCTACAAATATACAAAATAATAAAATTTCATTTTAAAACTAATAATAATAAGATTTTAATTAATAAAATAAAATTACAGCTAATCATTACAAGATTTATTTAATTCCCACATAAAGAAAAAAAGAAAAAATTGAAGTAGCAGTTACTCAAAAAATTAAATTGAATTAATTGACCGTATATATATATATATATATATATATATATATATATATATATATATATATATATATATATATATATATATAATAAATAAATGGGGAAACTACAGAAAAATCCCTAAACCAAAACTTGAAACACAGATCAGTCCCTAGGTAGTTTCCCCTAGCATTTCAGTCCCTACTCACGCGCCTAACATGCAGATCAGTCCCTAATAAAATGTGCAAATACGAAAATACCCTTTACTTTATACTAATTTTACATAACTTCTTTTCAACTTCCCACGCGCCGTTTGTATTACACGCTCTTTGCCCGTTACATTTCAAAAATCAAACAACAAAAAAGAAGCTAAAAAGGCGCAGAAAAAACCACCGTTCAGTAATACCCATTTTCAGACCAAGAAGAAACGAAGAAGAAACGAAGAAGAAACGAAGAAGAAACGCAACAGAGAAACAACAAAGAAGGAAGAAATTACGAAACACGAAGAATCAACAAACCGCAGAAAAATAGTATAAACAAACCCATTTATAAACAATGGTGAAGCAGGGTAAACAACAAGGTTTGATTTTTTATTTTTTTTTCATTTTCTTGGAAACAGACCCATTTGGGTGTTGCTTAAGCAGGGCAAAAAGGTTTATTTGTTATAGAATTGCATGATTTTGAACATATCCACTCATGGGTATTATGCCTCGACTTTATTCGGTGTTTGCCCTAATCATTAAATCGGTTCCAATATTTGTTGTTCTGTTGTTTGGGTTTGCAAAGATCATTTATTTGTTGTCGAATTTCATGATTTTGTAACAGTTTTCTCATGGGTATTATTCTTCGGTGACATTAGCATGTCCCCAAAGCATTTTGAGTCCTAACAAGGGTTTCATATAGGATATGGGAAAGAGGCTTATTGTATTTTTCGTACTGGTTCTATAGTATGTGTCATGCGCAGTAATGGTATTAATAGTGCATTTAGATGGTATAATCTTTGATGGTTCTGTAGCATGTGTCATATGCCACAATAGTATTACCAGTGACTTTGAATGGTATTACTAGTGACTTCGGATGGTATTGACATGTGGTACTAGAAGTATAATGTTGATGGTCCTGTAGTATAAGTCATATGCCATAATAGTATTACTAGTGCCTTTGAATGGTATTACTTGTGACTTCGGATGGTATTGACTTGTGGTACTAGAAGTATAATGTTTGATGGTCCTGTAGTATAAGTCATATGCCATAATAGTATTACCAGTGCCTTTGAATGGTATTACTAGTGATTTCGGATGGTATTGACATGTGGAACTTTATAGTACGTTGTATTTGTTATAATTGTATTTGTTTTATGTGTATGTAATTGCAGGAATTGTTGTAAAAGAAGATTGCAGCAAGCTATCAATAGGCTGCAGGTGCTCACCGATCGCTTTTCACCTAACTATGGAAGGTGTGAAAAAAGTGATGAAGAAACAACATCATGAAGTACTGAAGAAAAATCCCTTCTATCACTACATGGACATGCCTAAACTAAACCACAGCTTCCATAGGGTTGTGTCTCTCATGCAAGCGTACAATCCAGAAGATCGGGCCTTCTGGTTTGGGGGAAATACTATACGCTTGGAATTCACTCCGCAGCAATTATCTATCGTATTAGGGCTGCAGTACGAAGGCGTACCGGTGGATATGAATATGGATGGCAGAGACACTGATTTCATCACACGTATTTTTGATGGTAAGTTATCTTTAATGACGAGGCCATATATTGGTTATAAACTGGAGGCCTATGCAGTTATGACCGATCAACAATCTGTTGAAGATTTCAGCAGATTGTACACTATTTATCTGTTTAATACTATTCTACTGCCAAAGGGGAACAAAACGTTAGAAACGTGGGTTTATCCGCATGTAGAAGATTTGGAGGTTTTAGGGTCTTTTGCATGGGGAAAGTTGGTGTATGATATTCTTGTTGAGAATATGGAAGGGTATCTGAAGGGGGGGTTGAAGTATTTTGATGGATGCACTATCGGCTTATTGGTAAGTGATATCTAATAGTGAATATATATTATGTTATATTGAATATACCAATTAATATTGATTCCAAAATACGCAGGCATGGGTGCATGAAAGGATCACGTCACTAGGGGTTAGCACCAGTGTTTACAAATTTCCCCGGTTCTTCCGGTGGCAAGACAGCAAAATCCCAATCGATGAAGAAGCAGCTAGGTTGCTTTTTGATCAGATAAAACAAGTGCAGGTAACACTTTGAGTTACAAAATATATAATGTATTAGGTATTTGCTAACAAATTTTTTACGTTTATTAGGTTATACCATTTTCTGTGTACCCGAAAGAGAAAGCGTTGCTTTCTCCGGTTTTGGAAGTAATTTCTGGTCCAGTTGTTGGAATTAGTGCTGACAGATTTGTGGAAATAAGTTCTGAGAGTAGTGAAGATGAGATTGGAGACGTGGAAGCAACATCTGTAAGTCATTAATACAATAAACCCTAAAATTCATACTTCCATTCCCATTGGAACATACTATATGTCAACTAATATAATACTATGGTATAACATGTTTCGTACTATTGTTTTTTTAGTTGCAGTAGATGAAGAATAACTTAAAAAGGAAGAGGGGGAATGTAACAGAAGAAAAAAATAAAGAAAAAAAAATGCAGAGTAAGAGAAAGAAAGAAAAGGAGATAGAGAAAGAGAAGGAGATAGAGATAGAGAAAGAGCAGGAGAAAGAGAAGGAGAAAGAGAAAGAGACAGAGACAGAAAAAGAGAGAGAGACGGAGACAGAGAAAGAGATAGAGATAGAGGCAGAGATAGAGGAAAGGGAAAAGGAAGGAGAAAATGAAGGAGGAAAGGGGATGGAAGGTGAAGGAGAACAAAGTGAAGAAAGAGAGAGAAATCAAGGAGACGAAAGTCAAAGTCAAAGTCAAAGGCCAAAGTTCCACGCGTGCGAGGACGAGGACGAGGACGTGGTCGTAAACAAGTTCCTGTGTCCAAGGTTTCGGTTTCAGTCCCTGGGATCAAGGTATTTTTATCTAATATTAGTTTTACATTATTATTATTTTTTGTCATAATTGGTGTGATTTATTCGTTATATAGAATGCCGATTATTACCGGGGAAGAAAGGACTACGTACGTCGTGACCAAATATCCGAAGAAGATAGGATATTGTTGGATCAGTTCTTGGAAAGTGTTGATTTAGGGTAAGAGCACAACCACCTTGATATATGGTATATGTCAAGTGAATACATAGTACATGTTGACTGCATGTTATAGTATGTAGTAAC